AATCTTAGACTCCCTCCTAAACCCTTATATGCCAAAAAATAAACGGAAAGCATAAACTTCAATGTAATGACTAAAATTATTACACTCTTAGAGGAAAACAGGAGTAAATAATTGTGAACTTGGATTAGGTAATAGTGTCTTAAATAAAATACTAAAATCACAAGCAAAAGTTGGACTTCATCAAAATTTAAAAATTTGCATATTAAAAGACACAAGAAAGAGAAAACACAACTCATATCATGGGGAAATATTTGGAAATCTGACATCTGATATGTATGTATTTTATGAGAAACAATAACAGATAAAAACTAAACTAAAAATGGGCAAAGGATTTGTGTAAATATTTCTCCAAAGAAGATATGCAGATACATAGGAAACATGAAAATGTGGTCAAGACCATTAGCCACTAGGGAAATGCAAACAAAACTATAGTGAGACATCACTGCACATTCATAGCATGGCTATAAACAATACAGATTTCAAGTGTTGGCAAGTATGGGGAAAATTAGAACCTTCATAATTTCTTCTAGTAATATAAGATGGTGCAGCCACTTTTACAAACAGAACAGAAATTTTTCAAATAATTTAATGCAGTGCTACCAATTCCACTTTTAGGTATATAATAAGGAGATTGGAAAACATAGTTTTACACAAAACTTGTGCTGTAATGTTCATAGCAGTATTATTCATCATAGCTACCATGTGGAAATCACCCAAATACCCACTGAGCAATGAATAAACAAACAAAGTAATGTACACTATAACTATACAGTATAATATTATTCAACAGATGAAGTATTGGCTTTGACATAAGTAAAGTTTGAAACATTATGCTAAATGAAATCAGCTAGTCACAAAAAATCACATATGATTCCACACATATAAGTCATTTATTGATAGGTAAATCTATAGAAATAAAGTAAATTAGTGGTTGCCCAGGGCTGGGGGCAGGGTGGAATTAGGATTGACTGTCAACAGTGATGAAAATATTCTAAGTGAAGATTAGGGTGATGCTTTCTTGTTAATATTTTAAAAATCATTTAATTATGCACCTTACAAAGAGGATTTTGTTGGTACTATAAATTATTCCTCAAAAATATTTAAAAAAATAGTTGACTGCCAATATGGGCTTTCTAACATGTAATATATATTGTGGTTGGTATCTGAGAGAACACACTTAATGTTCTTTTGGGTCTTCTGAACTGTAATGTTCTTGAGATTTCAACTTTCTTTCCAATCATAAGAATACCCTAACTGCTAGTGTTACCCTCACTTGATCCTGAGTGCTTTTTGCATGAACATACAAGAAGAGAGACATGATTTTTATTAAGTTTTTTAAACCTCAATATTCGCTAGTGTTTCAACTTGGGATTGAAATTCAACTTCATTGTGTCCCCTGAACACATCCCATCCGTTATGGAACTTTGCTCAAGTTCCAGCTTTCCTGTGAAGTTCAGTAAGACTTTCCACAACATCCTCTTCAGGGTTTCCATTATAGTAAGGAATCGAACAAATAGTTCCAATATGTTTTATCTATCAAACTAAGAAAGGACTTTTTAAGGAAAAGGACAATTTCATTTATCTGTGAATTAATGTGCTGAATATCTAGGAGGTACTCAAAATATTTTTACTAAAGGAAGAAAGAGGGAGAGAAAGTAAGTAAAGATACTTATGGAATTTTGCAAGAACTTGAACTCTGAACTTAAAGATAATTTGAATTTACTGACTTTCACCTAGCCTAGACTAGCATTGATCAACACAGTGGGGGTGAGCCAACTGGATAGTTAATTGGAAACTAGGACTGGAGTTGAGAGAGAATTCTGTGAGCTATGATGTGATGTTTGAGTTAACGAAGATAAAAGTTTGCATCCAGATAAGGAATGAGTAAGTGTCTGACCCTGAAAGTTTTGGTTTACCTAACAAAGGTGAAAAAAATCCCTGTTTGTGGTTGTAACACTCAGTTATTTGATAAAGTTTATTATTTACCATATAGTTGAGAATGTAGACCCACCTGAGAAAGGAGAGACTTCAGGAACCAAAGGGAAAATTAAGTATGTCTGTGAAGGAATTCAGGGCACCCAGAGTAATTCTGCTCAAACTTTTATTTTTTTGATAATCTCTGAGGTGCAAGGTTCATGCTCTCCTTTATTTGCTCCTTACTATATCTTCCAGTAGGAAGAGCTCTGAGCCATAATCCCATGTGTCATCTCCATGGGTGGACTCTTCTTAAGGGTCCCTCTGTATGAAAGGAAGCTAATCCTCACTAATTGAGAAAACTCTTCCTTTTTCCTCTAGGGGCCCACTTTACTAACTTTATCTCCAATTTCCAATGTAGTACTCAACATTTCTTCATGTATATGTATTGCAATTCARACCAATAGTATAAAAATTACCATAAATTATAACCATAGACGATAGTAAGCTGTTTAGTCTCTTATCTTTTTATGCGAGTAAGCTCTAAGTGTGCATTTAGCATTTAGTATTTAATATAGGTTGAATGAAAAAACTTCTGTAATTTTATCCTTTGTGCTTCTCTTCTTCTAGGAACTGTGCCAGAGTCCGGCTGCAGCAA